GGGCCAAGATGGCGGCCAAATCGGAAAGTCGTAGAACAAAAAATTCCTAGTTTTTGATGTACTTTAATGCCTCAAATTTTGAAAGAGATCGGTTGAGATAAAAAATTGACGCTCATACACAAAAACCAGTACCCAGGCATGCCTAGCGTTGCCATATGGCAACATGCGCAGAAAACCACAAAAAACATGTATAAATTATTATTTTTTCGGCAAATATAATATTTATTATGAAAGTATGCGTGAAATGCTTTCAGAAAAATATAATTTCAATTTCGGAATTTCACTATAAATAATTAAAATAACACAAAGTACCCAGGATTTTTGCTCATAACGACCACTTTTTTTCATGTACTTTTGACGATGTCGTTGCGACGAAACACATTAACAGAATGACGCCAAACATATGTCAAATGAAAGCGACATCTTTCCCGCGTTCAAAACTATCAAATATGTGTAGATATGCGTTTACACCGCGTTCACATGTAGAAGCATATGCGGTGTTGCCATATGGCAACGCTAAGCGCTATGGGGTTAAATTCAAAAATAAATATCAAAAAATTATTCAAAAATCAGTCCAATTTCTTTGGCACAAAATTGTGTTTTTCGATCGGTACTCCTTTCGTCAGTCCATCAACGACCATCAGTTCCGTGCCCATTTTGGATATTTTAATTGTTTCTTTTTCAACCAAGTCTTGGATGAAATAGTGCCTAATTGCGATGTGCTTGGTTTTTGCTTTGAAGTTTCCGTTGTCGCACAAGTCTTTCGCTGCTTTGTTGTCGCAGAAAATTTCAATCGTATCAGTCGTTTTGCCAAGCAATTCTTCCTTCAGTTGTTTTAACCACAAAATTTCTTGTCATGCGGCTGATACGGCGATGTATTCGGCTTCGCATGTGCTCATTGCTACAGTAGATTTTATTTTGGCTTTTCCATGATATTGCACCGTGCCACAACGTAGCGTAACCGGTGCATGACTTGAAGTCACAGAAAGTTGAGCCCCAATCGGAATCGGAGTAGCAGCACAACTCTTTGTATTTGCTGGTCCGCGCAAACACTAATTTACTGTTCAACGTACCCTTTAAAAATCGAAAGATACGTTTAACTGCTGTCCAATGAGCGTTACCTGGTTGTTGGTTGAATTGGCTCACTACAGCGACACAGAATGAAATGTCAGGCCGTGTATATTGTTGCAAGCACAAAATACTTCCCACTGCTTCCTGGTAGGGAACATTGCTCATCTTGCGAATTTCATCTTCAGTTGTCGGTGACATATCTTTCGTGAGTCTCTCACTTGGGCTTTTCGGCAATTTGACTGTGTCGCAATCACACATGTTGAATCTGCGTAGAATTGCCTCGGTGTATTTTCGTTGATCCAATTTGATTACACCGTTTCGATAATCGTAGTCAATGTGTATGCCCAACACATTCGATGCAGTGCCCAAGTCTTTCATCTTGAAGTTCTTGGCCAGTGTTGACTTCAGTTGATCTTTCCAGGCTGTTTCGTTAAAAAATATCAACAAATCATCAACATATACTGCGACAATTACCATTAAGTCGTTGGAACGGCGCACATAGATGCATTGGTCCTTTTTGCATCGAGCATAACCGGCGAGTAAAAGCAGAAATTTGGGGCACGGACTTCGTTTGGGTCTCTCGGTGCCTTTTTTCATTCCCCTGGCGCCCTTGTGCAAATTTTCTATGTGCGCCCCTAGAAATGATCTATTATTTCAATTTCTGGTCCTGCATTGTTCATTACACAACTTCGTGTCAGGGTAGAAAAGTCTCTGAACGAGAGCGCCTGAAGGTCCTCGGGCGTTCATGCAGAAAAAAATATTTCAGGAAATTTTCATAATCAAGCGAGCCATTGAATGGATACACGCAAACATAGCAACCGAAAAAAGTTTTTTCAACCCTCAACCTCCTAAAAATTTAATTCGAAAATCAAAACTAACCGCATATCCGTAAACTTTCTGGGCCGCCAGAAGCATACGCACGGACGGACATATTTTCGGTTTTATGTACATATATACCTAGATATATATTTTTGTTATTTTTCATATCCGAATGAAGGAGACGATAATAAAACACGACCATTTCGACTATTGTTTTTCGCATTCTTAAGTTAAATAAAATAAAAATATCATTCAAAAATCTCAAGAATGACCAAAACGTCCAAAAATCGTGTTTTTTGAAAGTAGACTAATAGCGCTCGCGCCCTAGGTAAGATTTTTGCAATCTGAAAACGCAGATGTTCAGCACAAATTTCCTAACCTAGTGGCGATATGAAAAAATCCCATTTGTGGGTGGGTACTTCGTACTTGCCCTGTAAAAGTACCAAAAATCGTGTTTTTCGACAAATTAGACGATTGGTGCTTAGCCCCCGGACAAGATTTTTGCAATCTGAAAACGCACATTTCAGCACAAATTCAGCACAAATGTACCTCAAATTTTAAGGACTTTGAGCCAATTTTTAGAATTATAATTTAATCCATCTAGATCTTGTAAGTCATTCTTAAGATAACTGAGAAAAATGTTTTTTCTGTTTTTCGTTAACCCTCAGACGGGCAAGCTTAATCACTTACGTTATCGAGCAAGGTGGACCAAAGTGGTCCTATGGTTTTATGGCTGTAAAAGAACGCAATATATTGTCAAAAGTGAGAATGTATTGGAAGCTAGAAAGATGCTCGAAATATACGCGCTATATGCCGAAAAAATTTAATAAAAACTAATAGAGCGATAATACTTTGATTTTTTTTGTCTTAAATTTGGTTTCTTCAATTAGCAAAATTTGACATATTCAGAGATGAATTTTGAGTATACAGCTCAACTGATGCTGAACTAATTTTGTTGAAGCATGCCACGTTTGAAAGATGCATCTTTCTAGTTCCCACTATATACGACTTTTTACACAGAAAATATTATGAATTCTGGTGGAGAAATGGCTAATTTTTGCGGTTTTTGACATTTGACATGTCTCTGTAACTTTTCGAATGTTCATTCAATTTTATTGGTATATTGCGCGTTGAAAAGATACATCTTTCTAGTTTGCGGAATAATAATACTTTGGATGATATATTACGTATTCCCAATTTTACAGACTAAAGCCACTGGACCACTTTGGTCCAACTCGCCCGCTGATGCCATCTCTTTGTTCGGAGCTCCCTACAGTGCCCCGTAAATAGTAAAGTTCGATTATTTTTTATTGAAAATTCTAGTAAAATGTTCAAACAAAACATTGCAACACCCGCTGCAATTGAGAAATTATTTTTTTGCATTTAATTTTTTTAAGAATTCAGTGTTCTGGACCACAACAGACCCACTTGCCCGGTTGCGAGTTAATATATGAATATATTAGTGACTATATTCAGCTAACATAATATCTGCCCATATCCTAATAAGCTGCAGCTATTTTGATTTTGTGACCACAAAAAATTTGTTAAATCTTCAAATTCGTGACAAATATTCCAATACTACTGTATCAGGCAACCCGACTTTGTGACGTTCGGAATCGTGAGTGCTGCGTGAATCAGTCACGCAGCAAACGAGTGTATACATACGAAGCGCAGAGCTGCTTCGAGTCAGTCGAGTGTGAGACGCGGTCAAGCAAAGACCGAACACCAAACATGTGAAGAGAAGAATATAAATGAGAAAGAGAGAATGATTGGTTAGAGAGGAAAGCCAATTTGGCAATAAACGGCATCTATGTGAAAGACGACAACTCAAATAAAGCAATGCGTTTTATTTCAATGTAGTTTATTTTCAGTCGAGAAGAAGTCACCACGAAAATATGTCACAAATTTAAAAATTCAACGAATTTTCTGTGGTGAGATAGTCACGAAATCAAAATAGCTGCAGTTTTTTAAGAGATAATGCTTGGGAACAGATATTATGTTATCTGAATGTGTTCACTGGAATATATTTTTTATAACGGTTCATATATCTTAGGACAAACATTTGATGTAGTACGAATTGAATAGTTTGCTGAAAAGTAAACTAAAAATTGAATAAAGTCCTCAAGAACCAGAGCTTCTGAAGCAGGGTCCGAGGGGTCAAATTACCCCCCTCTGAAATAATTTTGGCACATTACCCCTATGTGGAAAATTTCACCCATACTGTGATTTAAATCCAAAAGTGAGGACCTTTTTTAGTCCTCACTTTTTCTGCTAAGCGGGTTCACACTAGATAGAATCGATTTTGAAAAGTGATGACCTTTTTTTTTGCTCTTCACTTTTGGAATTACCCATACTCGATTCCAAAATCACCCCCCAAATAAAAATTTGCAATTTGAAATTACCCCCCTCTGGACGACCAAACTTCAGAAGCTCTCTCAAGAACGCAGAGCGGAGCGAGGCGAAGGTCTGTGGTCTTGTTTTTCTGTGTTTTGTTTTTCTGTGTTTTGTTTTTTCTGCGTTTTTAATTTCTGTGTTCTATGCGAGAATCCAAGAAATAAGAGTAGCCGAACTTACAACGCAAGTATATCCTTTTGATATAAGCATTTGTGCGGTATAATCAGGTACTTGAATTTTCCAATTCTCCCCCGTTGAATCCATTCTAGATGCTACGTTAACCGTATTCCTAAAATAAATGTAGTATAATAATATAATAATAAATATAATATAATTCCATGCTACAATAACAGTTACCCCCATATATCGTAAACGGGCTTACGAGCACCAATAACGCCGCTTACTAACGATCCGCTACTGCATGAACGAAACGATTTTATTATTGCAAAAAGTCATTCAGGTATCTCATTTTGTATACGGCTATATCTTGAGATATTAGTAGCTCCTATTTTTGGGCAATAGCTGTGCATATTTTTTAATAGCAGCTATCGAACGCATACACGAACAAAGACACAACAACGGAGAAAACACAAGCAAGAGAGATGGAGATTTTAGTTTTATTTTTTTTACCATTATTTGTCAACAAGTCTGCCTATATCAACCCATTGTCACTTTACATAGTACAGAAACGTAAAATGTTCGCCATTTAGTTTTACATTGCCAATACATTATTTATGAAGATTATTGTTTTGTTTATTTTCGCTATTGAAAAATATCCACAGCCATCGCCTAAAAATAGGAGCTACTAATATCTCGAGATAAATCCGTATACAAAATGGATCTCTGAAGTTATTTCAAAGAATATTAAACATTTAGGAAGAAAAATGTAAAATTATTTCCTTTGATATATTCTTGTCATTGCCTACACAGGTTGAATATTTCTTTATTTAAAAACGATCTTTTTTTTGGAAACATGGATCCTTTTTCTCCATATTTTCTACCGAATCCATTGCTCCTTCTTCCTGCTGTCCGTCTACTCAAACATGCCTTACCTTATGCCAACTCGCAATTGAAATGTGTTAAATGCATCCTTATTCACTTCCTGAAGTTTCTGACAAAGAGTCATTGCGAATTCTACTAAATCACAAACACAATCCTCCTCTTTTCCGCCTTTTTCCAACTTGAAATACAATAATTCCAACATTTTTTTAAATTGTTCATTCAAGAGTAAAATATATAAAGTTATTACTTGATGTTTTGGGTTCAGGCCAGCCGCTGCCATATACGTTGCGCCCACCGTTTTAATTTTTTCCACTGTTGAGAATTGCGGTTCATCCATCAATGAATCAAAGTCACAAATGATTTCATTTAAAATTCGAATACATGCTTTTCCATTTTCAATATCCTCTGAATAAAAATCTTGAAAATTCGGAATAGACGCAAACATAACTCCACACAAATTATGCATTTTTGCATAGAGCTCGTCAGAACGTCCATCAGATAAATAGTAGGATGCGACGTGGTCAGGCAGTATATTCTATAATAGAAATTTCAATTAATAAAATGAGTGGAATCTATAAATACATTGTAAACCTAATTTCATTTTAATTTTTTTTTAATCCTATCAAATTGATTTTGCCGGCAAATCCAAAATATTCAGCTAGTACTTAGCAGTGTGAATAAATAAGTAAATTATGAGTCTATAATTTCCAAATACAAACGAGTATGGTGGTGGTTTTCGGGCTGATCTGCCAAAGTAGAAATAACTATTTACCGCTTTTTTATCTGCTTTCTACCCTGGTATGAAATACGTGAAATGGTCAGTGGAAAAATGACAAAAATACCAATAAGATAAAGAAGTGTGTCCCGTTCTGTATGGATCTTGGGCCATTTTGAATGAAGTCTAACGCATATCAACTTAAAGGGTAATGTGTGTAGATAAATTATATATAGATACCCAACCCCTAAATTGTGAGGAAAGGGGTTAAAATTGGGGATATGTTGGCAAACCCAAAATAAAGGTATCACTTCCCAGGGCCATAGCTCCCTAACTATGGGAGGTAGGGCAATACGTATTGAGTACTCCTTGGGTCAGAGTTGTAGTACTCATGAATACCTATCCAACGGTATACATAATATTTCCATTTGTTCATAGTAAATGAAAAATACCGTTATATGAAAAAATATTAATTTTTTGGGTAAACAAATCATATTATACACATTTTCTGGGGCTGGGG